GTGGCTGCGCAACTGTAATTTCCTGGACGAGATGAAATGCAGAATCGAGGAAATGCCATTTGATGGTACCGGTCTGTTCCATCAGAAGACCGACCGCAAGTTAAAGGCAATACACAAATTGCGCCTGACTGCGCGCCGCATGGAGCTCCCTCCACAAAAGCATAAGTGGCAGTGGCCTCGGTCTTCCTATCGGAACCAACAATATTACCCTCACCAGCAATATCAGCAACGGCAACGTCGGAGGCAACAACCGCAACAGTGCTTCTCCCAAGGCCATCGACGCTTTGATGCCAATAAACGCCCACGTTGACGGTCCGGGCCAGCCATCCTCTCTCTTCCAACACCACCTTCCCTTCTCCCTTGTGGGGACCGGCTCCAGGGCCGACTCCCCATTTGGGAGTCCATTACATCTGATAGGTGGGTGTTATCTATCATTCAGTTCGGATATAGGATAGGATTCGATGTTGTCCCTCCGCTGAGCCCAATCTGTTTTACACCTTCTTCATTGGTGCTATGCGAAGAGGTCTCCCAGTTGCTTATCAAGGGAGCGATTCGACAGTTATCCTGCTCAGAAGGATTGCATGGATTCTACTCCAGATATTTTACGGTCCCGAAAAGAGACGGTGGTCTTTGTCCGATTCTGGACTTACAAACTCTTAATAAGTACATCAAACCAAGGAAGTTGCAGATGACCACTTTACAGAATATCTTTCCGTTATTGAAGAGGGAGAATTGGTTCGCCTCACTGGACTTGAAGGATGCCTATTTTCATATTTCTATCCATCCTTCACACAGACGCTTCCTACGTTTTACTGTCGGGTCCGATCTGTTCGAGTTCAATGTTCTACCTTTTGGCCTGGCTACCGCCCCTCGAGTTTTTACGAAGTGTATGGCACCTGTATGCGCACACTTAAGAACACGGGGAGTGCAAATATACCCACATTTAGACAATTGGCTAATCGTTTCACAATCCGAACAAGGTCTTCTGTCTGCTATACAAATGACCTACGCTCTACTCGATGCTCTTGGTCTGTGCATTAACCGTGAGAAATCGTCCCTTATTCCCACGCAGGTCATCAGCTTCATCGGGGCATGACTCAACTCGACACGGGAAAGAGCCTTTCTTCCACCGGAACGTCAAGATGCCTTATGCAACCACATTCATCGGATCCAGCTGCATGGAACAGTCCCAGCCTTATCCGTTCAGAGACTACTTGGGCACATGGCTGCTGCAGTTGCCATTGTCCCGTATGCCAGGCTGCGTATGCGGCCCATAAAACTGTTTTTCAACGCCGCATTTCACCCGCAACAGGATCCTGCCACCAAGCTGATCCAGATTCTGTTTGCGGTCTTTCGTACTCTAACTTGGTGGACCATCCCAGGCAACCTGCTATCGGCGCCCCGTTTCGACCACCTCAGCCAACAACAACCCTGTACACCGACGCATCCCTCCTCGGATGGGGTGCAACTTGTTTGGGATTTCGGGTTCAAGGTACTTGGAACCGACGAGAAGTAAGGAAGCACATCAATTTCCTCGAACTTCTAGCAATTTTGAACGCCCTCAAGGCCTTCGAGACTGTGCTATGCCGTCAAGTTGTCCCGATTGCATCAGACAACGTACCTGCTGTTTTCTATATCAACAAGCAGGGCGGCACAAAATCTCCAGCCTTAGCACACCTATTGATGGACATTTGGGATTGGTGCATACCGAGGAACATAATGCTCCTGGCGGTTCACCTGGCAGGAACGGACAACATCGAAGCAGATATGTTAAGCAGACAGATGTCAACAACCCACGAATGGGAGTTGGACAGACAAATTTGCGAGAAACTCTTCCGTTTGTGGGGTTACCCAGACATGGACCTGTTCGCCACCCGGGACAACAGAGTGTGCGCCCTGTACTGCTCCAGAGTGGGCATCGGATCGGGATCGATGGGGGATGCTCTTATGATCCCTTGGAACAACATGACTTTTTATGCGTTTCCTCCGATCCCACTTCTAACTAAAGTGGTGGTGAAAATAGCCCAAGACAATGCCACAGGGATATTAGTAACTCCATGGTGGCCGAGACTACCATGGTTTGCCACTCTTTTGCTACTATCCAGAAGAACGTTTCTTTGCCTACCAACTCTTCCGCATGTGTTAACACAACAAGACGGAGTGAACCAGCATCCGGATATAACCTCCCTGAAGTTGACAGCATGGCGGATCAACTGAATCATTTCATTGAGTTGATACCAATGACACCTCACTCTACAGAGGACCCTATTCAGCAGACTGTACATATGGCTCCTACCTTGGATTCAACAGCAATCGCTGTGGTACCTACGCCTACTGACCAAGAAATTCAGGCGATTCTCGAATCTGCATTGAGACCGTCCACTCGTCGTTCCTATGCGGCTAAATGGAAAAGATTCTCCTCTTTTGCAGAGTGCCATTCTTTTCTTCCTAGGACGGCTTCAGTTGACAATATTCTGCAATTTCTCTTGCAACTGCATCACGCAGGACTCAAACCATCATCCATCAAAGTTTATGCAGCCACCATATCCCATTATCGTGGCACTGTCCACGGTTTATCAGTTTTCTCTCAACCGCTGGTTCAACGCTTTATTAGGGGACTACAGAACTTACATCCGTCTATCCGCCCTGCTATGCCAACGTGGAGCCTTTCTGTAGTGCTCCAAGCGCTTACCAAACCACCGTTTGAGCCTTTGGCAACGGTGGACCCATGCCTCATGTCGTGGAAAACGGCCTTCCTCGTAGCAGTAACATCAGCTCGGAGAGCTAGTGAAATTTGTGCTCTTCGCATAGACCCGCCATTTCTGAATTTCCATAAGGAAAAAGTCGTTCTTCGGATGGATTTTTCCTTTCTCCCTAAAGTGGCTACGCCATTCCACCTGAGTCAAGACATTGTTTTGCCGGCATTCTTTCCATTGCCTTCGAATCCGATAGAACGTGCTCTACACACGCTTGATGTTCGTCGTTGCTTGGCCTTTTACAGATCCTGCACTGAATCTTAATAGACCTTTTTGTTAAGTACTCCGAGCATGACAAGGGATCGCCGATCACATCTCAAAGACTTTCTAATTGGATCGTCCAGACTATTGTCCTGGCTTACCAGCTATCAAAAATAGACTTATCTGTCTTTCCAAGAGGTCACTCCACACGAGCAGTAGCGACTTCGTCCACGTTTGCCGCAGGGGTTCTGCTACAGGATATCTGCAGAGCTGCGACGTGGGCTGGTCCATGTACCTTTGCCAAGCATTATCGGCTTGATGTACGTGCCAGGCAAGACTGCTCTTTCGGCAGAGCTGTTCTTTCATCCGTTCTTCGCTGACGACACCTCCCTCCTCCAAGTTTGGTAAGCGTGCGAATCACCCATATGTGTGATGCACAGAGGCCACGACGAAGAAAAACAGGTTGCTTACCTGTAACTGATGTTCTTCGAGTGGCCATCTGTGCATTCACACAACCCACCCGCCGGCCCCACTTGGTGTCGGTGAGTGGATGTTTTTTTCTCTCGGTACCGTACTCTAATTTTCATCGGTACCGTTGGGATATAATGATGCTTCTCGTTGATTTTATTCTCAACCTCTAGAGGGCGAATGTTCGGTCTTCAAGACTGAGTAAAATGGCGGACACTCCGCTCTATTTATACCACTGAGGGGGAGGGGAGCGGAGTTTCCTGCCAAAAACCGTTAGCTTTCTAATCTTCTGGCCTAGGCACTGCGCAGGCGCAGCACCCATATGTGTGATGCATAGATGGCCACTTGAAGAACATCAGTTACAGGTAAGCAACCTGCTTTTTTTCTGCATCTTTTTAAAACCTGGTTGCCTAGAGTTGAACACAGTATTCCAGGTGAGGTCTGATTAGTGTGATTAGTCACACTGATTTGGCCAGGGCGACTTAATTTATATTGTTAATTTATATTGTTTTATTGAATTCTATTTATTTATGGTTTGTGAGCCGCCCCGAGGCTTCGGTGAATGGGGCGGCATAGAAGTCCCCTAAATAGATAGATAGATAGATAGATAGATAGATAGATAGATAGATAGTTTATTTTTGCTGAACACCCCTTGGTTTTGAGTCATGGTTCTCCAAAGAATTTTGGCAACTGCATTTGGTGAGAAATCTCAGGTAAAAGGACTTTCTTCTTAAGGAACTTTTAAAATGTCCCCCCTGAAATTTCTGATTCAGAGAGGGAAATCAAAACATTCACTGAACTTGATTTGTGAATATTTGTTCCAGCTATTTTTTGTTGTTGTTGGGCTCTCTTTGCCTTGTGTTCCTTTTTGGGGATTTCTAAAGAGAAGCACAGGAGTTATTTACAAGTAGGTATACCAGCCTGCTAAGGCAAATGGAAGACTAGGGCACTTATACAGAGACAGGATTAAAGTTCTCCTCTCCTTCTTTGAATCAAAATGAATTATACAATCTGGCATGATGTTATTGTTTATATGAACAGGATGAATAATCAGCATAATATCTCCTCTTCATACAGAATTTTCTGGGTGCTGAAAAGAGTTTTGAAAAGAAAAACTGATCTTGTCATATGCAATTGCTGTTGAAATAAATAGTTTAAGTTGATAGGTAAATATAACTTGGTGCCTATTGACTAGCTAAGGTTTATTTTCTTTTAATTGGTTTATTATTTATAATTGATGTCACACTGATGAAATATTTGTGTGTATGCATTATTCATTTGAATAAAATCAATTAAACATTAAAAAGAAGCCTTCCTGGCAACTACAGAGCTTCTGTTCTAGTTAATCTTACTGTTAAGTGGACAAGTAGGATAGAGAAGGAAGGCTCTCTTCCATGTTGCTTGAATCTACTGACTGGTGTTTGCTCTGAGTGGGCTTCCTAAGTCCTATATGCTGCCTTTCATATGGAATGTGACAGTTCCTTCTATAAGGTGTGATGAGCTTCCCCAGAGAAAGCAAGCTGCTGGAAACGCCCCTATCAATGTATTCTTCCTGTGTTTCTCTTTTGCTTGCAGGTATGGATGGATGCAGGCACTCAAATCTTCTTCTCTTATGCCATTTGTCTGGGATGCCTGACGGCTTTGGGCAGCTACAACAAGTATCACAACAATTGCTACAGGTAACTGAAGTATGATGCTAATTTGCTTCTTCCGGTATCATTTCTGTGTAGCAGAAACAACTTATATGCATTGAAGAATTTCTGCTGTGTTTTCACATAATAGTGTTCTTTCTTATTCCTATCACTTCACAACTGCAATCCTACCTGGACACTACAATCAAGATCTGGGTCTTGCTTGTGACTGCCACCTTCAAGGGAGGCTCAGTTGGTGGCAACAAGTAGAAGGGCCTTTTCAGTGGTGGCCCCACAGTTGTGGAACAAGCTTTCCACTGAGGCCTGTCTGGCACCAACCTTTATATCCTTTCAGTGCCAGGTGAAAGACGATTCTTCATTGTGGACAATTGATTTGTTTACTGGGGTTTTGTTAGCTTCTTAAACAACTCTTAATGATTTAATGTGTATAAGTGATTGTAACTTTTTATATGTGTTTTAAATCTGGCCTTAAATTTTTGTAAGGTAACCTTTTAATGATTTTTAATACTTTTTTGCATTTTAGATTGTATTTTTACATGTAAACTGCACAGAAACCCTCAGATGTTCGTCAGTGTAGGAAATAAATAAATAAAATGAGTTTCTTATTTATTTTCTCTTTCTGAAATGAAAGGACAAACTACATGTTGAAAGGACATGTGTCTGCCACCAAAAGTAGCCTCCTCATTTGAAGCTGTCTGTCCCCACTATAATGCATTGTACGATCTGCATTCTCATATTGGTTGCTATCATTAACAGAGATGCAGCTTTTTTCCAGTTCATTTACTCTTACAGAGAACCGAGAAGATGTGTTTGTCAAGCTGTTACATTTCTGTGTTTTCTGTGTGTATTCCTGTCTAATATTTTTAGACCTAATTTGTGGCAATTTTTAAATTTAAAGAGACAGTCACAGCTGGCAAAGTTGGGACTTTTCAAGGCCAATGTTGCTTTAACTTAGCTCTTTATCCTTGCGGTGTCTGGCTCTCGTATGGCTTCTTGTTCCATGTGGCGACAGAATTACTGATGTTTTACTCAACCTGTTCCCTGAATGTGGGTGGGATGGGGCTTTAATGACTACAGATGAAAATAAAAAACATTGGGAGGAATTCAGTAATTAAAGCTTTCCCAGAGGGAAAGAGGAACTGAGTGAATAAATTTAAATTAAGAGGGTATGCATCAGCAATCTCTTTGCTGTATTCACTTGGTAGAATTAAATGGGGCAGAAGCTGTGAGGAGGATGCTTCAGCTTAATGGACTTAATGAGACTTACTTCTGAGTAAACAGCTGAACCCTCACTATTGGAATAGGTGTTGCTAAATAATGAGATATTATATTGACACATGGAACGATTACTGATATAAATTAGGGCTGTAATATTCAACCAGATTATATTTTATTTTATTTATTTATTAAAACATATATGTGATCTTTTGATTGAAAAGGCATCTCTGATTACTTGGGTAAGAGTTTTTAAAATTCTATTTGCTTTCACTGTAGGTTAAAACCTACGAAAACATGGTGACAGACACCCCTTTAAGAGAGGAATTTGTTGTCTGTCATATGCAGGACAGAATACTGTGTCCAGGTTGGTGTCTGCTGTCCAGAATACTTGCTTCATATAAGAGAGAAGAGGATTCCTGTTACATTCACACCAAAATAGATACAAATGTCATGGACGATTTAACATACATGCAATTGATCTAGTGATTGTCCTATTATGTGTGCATCTTTATACAGATACTTCAGTTTTATTGGCTACAAATGCTCAATATTTGATTGGCTGCCTCTCCTTATAGCAGAGGGTTATTCTAATACTCCTTTCTGACTGGCTGCTGCCCTTCTGCACTGATGGTCAACTCTCCTTCACAGGGATTGCATCGCTCTATGTTTTCTGAACAGTGGCACAAGTTTCGTGGCTGGTTTTGCCATCTTTTCCATCCTGGGCTTCATGTCCCAAGAACAAGGAGTGCCTATTTCTGAGGTAGCTGAGTCAGGTGAGTGGTTGTTGAGTGGCTGGGGATGTAACTTGCTATGGAGGGTTCAGATAGGGATGACGGTACTGCTCCGTGGCTGTAGGGATGCCCTTTACTCAACCTGCCTTGATAGGCTGCCCATCCTTCCATAGGCAACACATGGTCCATGACAGGAAGGGCAAGCATCTCCAGCCAGCAGTCAAGGCATTCCTCTTCCTCCTTCCACTGCAACAACACCTGCAGCTTTCTTTGCTCTTCATAATGGCGCCCACCACTAGGGATGGACAAATCTGATAATTTCAGTTTCTTGCCTTTATCCATTTTTGCATCCTTAAGTTCATCCCTAACCTCTGCAAATGTTTCCACATTTAAGTTCTTAAGTCCACATGTTACAGTGTTTAGGCATATTAGAATTTCCACTTGCACATGGTAGGCATGCCATGAGCGAAGCCAGCTAGAGCCGGGGATCAGACTAGATGGCCCGGGAGGCCCCTTCTGTCTTGCTCTGTTTTGCTCTGTTTCTATGTTTCTATCTAAACATGTAATGTTTCTATCTAAACATGTGGATGTGGCCAACACATGCCTGAAAATACCTGCGTTATGAAGGTACATTTGTCAGGGAGCCAAGATTTGTTTGTGACATCCTCCTCTGCTATGTTTAACAGCTAAAGAGTCTATTGCTATGTATTTGGTGTCGTGGACAGTGTGAAGCAGCCTTCGGTGTACCTTTCTGGCAAGGAATGTCTGGCTTGCATCGCAAGCCTGTTTCCTCAGACATGAATCATTTTCAGTAGCAAGTCTCCCACACCTTTCTTCTAGGATCCCTCCATCATGCAAATAAATGTTCACTTCTCACACATTCTTAGCTTTATAAAACTGAGTTGTTGCTTGGTATGCATGATTTTAAATTGACGTAATATTTTTTGTAAGCGAACAACTAATCAATGGAGTATGTGGGTGAATGAATGGATGGATGAATGAATAACTCTGAATTTACTCCTGCCAATTGTAGTTCATGCTCATAAGAAACAGTGCTCCCTCAAACCCCTTGAAAACTAGATGCCTACAAAACAGAAAGCAAGAAACCCTGCACAAATCAAAACAGCATACCAAGGAAAGAGGATCTAGTCTACTTCATTATTATTTTTTTTACATTCCACTATGTGAAGGTAGGTGAGTGTGCCTAGGAATATTTAGTCATGTCACAGGGAATAGACTTGATCTAGTAACCTTTTGAAGCAAAGTGGGTTTAGGTCTGTTCACTGCCTACAAGGAAGACACTTAGGGACCCTATGCATGCATGCATGCTTCAGTTTACAGAGCAAAGGTGAGCGTTCCACTTCAGTTTGGAGCAGCACACTTCCTGTGTGCATTTGCCACTTCAGGAACATCTAGGCCTGTCTTGCTGGCATTGCTGCCAGCGTGTGTCGAGTTAAGAATGCCTCTGTACGAGGGTTCAGATTCAAATGCATCCTGGGTGAGCAACTTTCTCTTGACAGGACCTGGCCTGGCATTCATCGCATATCCCCGAGCTGTTGTCATGCTGCCTTTCTCTCCATTATGGGCCTGCTTCTTCTTTGTCATGGTCGTGCTGCTGGGCTTGGACAGCCAGGTAAGGATGCCTTCAGTGGCAGCTTCAGCCAGGTATTTAGCCATTTATCTGGCAGCAGGGGGTGTGGCTGTTGCTGGCAGCTGGTTTTGGTTGTTAAGAAATGGCTGCCAAGTGTAAGTTGCTTCCTATATTATTGCTGCATTTTTACTGCCAGGGAGAGAGGAGTGTTCTGGCTCATGTTAAACTAACTCGACTAGCATTGGCTACTTAGCACTACTTACTTGAAAGATCTCTCTCTCTCTCTCTCTGTGTGTGAGTGTGAGCTTAATGCATTTGAGCTTAACTTGTCATGCATCTGATGAAACAGACACAGTCCATGAAAACTTGGTTAGTCTTGCAGGTGCCAAAAGACTTTAATAATTTGATGGATTCTTTCAATGATATATATTAAATGTGTTTTCTGTTATGCCACATTTTCCAGTCACTTTATCTACATGATACCTGTTAAACCTTCCTTTTCCAGAGGCAAAGGTGGAATGAGTTTACACAACATGAGCCTCAACCCTTATTTAAAACAGCAGCTACTACTGTCCAACCACAGTTTCCCAGACCATTCTGGGCCATTTGTGGGTATCTCATTGAACTGAAGGGAAAGGAAGGGTTGCCATCCAGAACTGATCGTTTGCTTCCATCCTTGTCTTCCTAGTTTGTCTGTGTGGAGAGCCTGGTGACTGCCATAGTTGACATGTATCCTGGGATTTTCCGGAAGAAGAACCGCCGAGAAATGTTAATCCTTCTGGTCTCCATCCTCTCATATCTCGTAGGACTAGTCATGATCACAGAGGTAGCCTATACTGAAAAAGCTGCACATTTTCTTTGCTCTTTTAACTCTTATGAAATTTGACTAAAGTCTTTTTAATAGGGGAATAATTTTGCCACAGTTCCAAATTATATGAGAGGACTGTCTGAGGGCACGTGATGCAGCCTTGTTGGTGAATCCATGCAGTGCTGGACCTGGTCAATGCCTGAAAGTGACTGGAGTTGCCTGGAAGAAATACAGGATCAGATTTATAGCAGTGGTTAGGGGTGATACATCTGTCAAGTTTATTCCTGATCAGTGTCTCATTTATCCTATGTTAATTTTGCCCCATCCAGTTTTCATTATCAGATTGCAAATTTGTTTTTTTAACAGTATTTATTTTTCTGCCCATTTTTCTAAATGTACACATTTTTGGATGCATTTCCCCAAATATATTCATTTTTGCATGTACATCTCTAAAAATACTGATTTTTTTTCAAGTGAATATTGTTCCTTACACATTTCGCCTATTGTGTGTATGTGTGTGTGTTTGTGACTTGCACTGCAGAATTCAACAAAGGGCAAATATGACTTCCTGTTCATGTATAGGTTCACAAAGTACAAATTTGGTAAGCTTATATTAAAATGCAAACCCAACAGAGTTTTTGCGTTACCTTCATGGTGGTTGATAATATATCAGGAGCGTGGGGACTCACTTGGAGACTAGACTGAGTTATCGATCTAGAATCATTATTTTTGCAACTGTGAAAAGATGCACTCAGCAGCTTTCTTTAAAGCAGTTTTTTTCAAATGCTGTACTTTGAAGAAATTCATTCCTTGTCAGCTTGGGTACTGGAGGGAATCCCTGTTCATTGCAGAGGCTTCTGGGTATATTCTAGGGAAGAATGCTCAAATAAAGCAGAACACTGGTCAGACCTGTTGGGCAGTGCCTGTTGGTTCATGTGAATTGAGAGTACAAGCTTGACTTTAACTAGTTCTTTATCTTTGCATTGTTAGAGGTAGTAAATCTTTTTTTCAAAGAAGGTCTGGTATTGGCAGTGGACACCCTCAGGCAACTGCCAGAACCCCCTGCCTGGAATATTTCTTCCAGTCCAAAGAGCACCAGGGAATGCCCCCATTTCCTTCCATGGGGAGGTTGTTATGTCAGGAGTGGAGATCTTTGGGGTTTCCTTGGTACCAGTGCCACTAAAAAGAGTTGAATGCTCTGCTTCTTTGAGACACTCATCTCAAAAAAGGGAAGACCACCCCAGAGGTCCCTGCAGTCTCTTCAGGAAGGGCACGTGGCTGATGCAAGAGCTTCTTGATGCAAGCCGAGTGCAGCAGCCAAAAATGTGTGGGGTCTAATGAGAACTAGGGAAGGAGGGGCACACATCTCCTTCCCCTGCGCTGCAGTGCTGATGGAAACCCCTCCCCACACCTTGGATTATTCTGAAAAAGGTTCCCTGAAAAGCTACAAGCCATGCAACTAATGTAATATATAGTTAGGCCCCCCAGAGGTACAAGGGCAAAAGTTGGCTTTGGGGCATTCCTGGTTAATCACAGTTTTACTTTTAAGTGATCTTCAACACTTTATTAACTGGGTTGATTCCTTAATTAAAATTGCAGCCCTACCTTTCATAGCTAATTGCAGGACTTTTCTCATATTCAAACATTCATCCTACCAACATTCTTATTACTTTTCATTACCTAGTTAGGGTATATTTTCCACCACTGAAGTTGGGACTGAAGTGATAATGTTTTAGAAAAGTGCACCATAGCCAGCAGCATTCTGAAAGGGGTACCAGAACCTGCAGTTTTAGTGCCTAAATTTTGCCGAAATTGTTCATTGATGTTGGATGCAGTTGCATAGTACCCAGAAAGAACAATCAAAATGAACAATTATAACTGTGAACCAAACTGTTGTAAACTTCCCAGAGAGCATTGGCTATTGGGCAGTGTAGAAATAAATAATAATTGCAATATAATAACAAATGATTAAGGGCCCAAAGTATTTTGGAAAATCTTTGGTTACTAATTTATACTCTAAGATGTAGGTCTAATGATCTTCTGTCCTATTTACTGAAGCAGGAGTTGCATCTTTATTCTCACAAAGGTTCCTTTTATTTCATTGTCGCCCACATGAGCCTCGTTGAAAGACTTATTTTTTTCCTCTCCCCTCCCTGTTCCTTTTCTTTGTGTGCCATGCCCTTTTAGCTTATAAGACTGAGGGCATGCACTTTGTTGAATGGATTATACTGAGAGCCTTTTTAGCTGCAGAATAGTATAAAAATACTTAAAATAACCAGAGTCCAATGGTGCTTTTCATAGGCAACTCCTTTGATATTGAAGTCTAAAATTGAAGTTGTGAAATTGTGTGAATTGCAGTGTGTTGCTTATCAACACAAATTTCTTGTAGGCTTTTGCAATCAGTAATGTGCCCTTCGGGGAAGAAATGTAAAAGGACACTGAACAAACATCACACAGCGCAGTGGCATCTGTGTGGCAGGGCGCTCTCTTTTTCCAGCTTACTACAGAGGCATAAAATACTGTTTGGAGATACCATGCCTCTGGATACCTCACATTCCCAATTTCTCTCCACGCAGAGACTTAAATATAGAACTCCTGCATTCCCAGACCATAACTTATCTTGTTTCTCATTCGTGGTAATAAGAGGCTGAAAGGAAAACATTACTAAGGTTGCATTCTAAAGACAAGTTCATAGTACTGGCCTTCCCATCATGTTATGCCGCATTTTAAAGAGTAAACCCTGAGTCTGGTCTTTTACCAAAGTTACTTATTCATCTAGGATCCTCTTCCACTCACCTACCCACAAATCTGTTGTTTAGGACACCCAGTGTTAAATAGTGCAATATGTTTGCATGGCTACTTAGACCTTCAGTTCTTTAACATATAATATTTGTAGGGAGAAGGTTGAATGTACAGAGAGGATGGCATCATCTTCAGCTGCCTTTTGGCAATCAGGAGGAAGAAGGCAGCTAGAGGGGGACAGACTTAAAGTTTAAGCCTTAAAGAACCAATCTACCAAAGTATGATAAGATCTCCAGATGACAACCACAGTCAGATGAAATGAGCTGCAAGCATCCCTCTCACTCCTGCATGACTTTTCTTGACAGTAGGATGACTAAACGACCCATGAATTTCAAGCTTACCATGTTGCCTCAGTCATTCCGTGCATAAAAGGTATCTTGTTGCAATTATATACCTGATTCCATCAAGAGTGCATTTTTAGTAGTGTTTTATCAATGCACACTTGCAGATTAACTGCAAATGAATAAAAGATGCAGATGAACCAGGCAAATTGAAAGCTGTAGCAAACACCACATGTTTCATTTTTGAATTAATTTTTAAATCCTTTAGCTTCACTGTGATTTGGGAGAAGTTTATTACCAGGCAGAGTGAACTAGAGGAACAATAAGGAATGGAATTAGGGTAACCTCCATTCCTGTGCAATAGTGTTGTTAATTTCATTTCCATACTGCCCAAAAAAACAACAAAATGCCATAAAATCTTATCAAAAATACAAATATTTCAAGCAAAAAATTAAGAACACCGCTAACCCCCCCCCCATGAAAATAGCTCCATAAAAACCATCTGTGACAGGTATTCCCCTCAAGCCCTTGGATAGCTCAGCCTATCTTTAAAAGCCTCAATATAAAGGTTTCACCTGGTGCTGAAAAGAGAAAAAGGTTGATGCTAGGCAGGCCTCACTGGGGAGGACATTCCAGAGATGTGGGGCCACCAAAGAGAAAGCCCTCCCTCTTGTTGCCACCCTCTGAGCTTTCCACAGATTTTGCACTCAGAAGAAGGCCCCAGATGCTGAGCATAGTGTCTGGGCAGATTGTAGTTGCGAGAGACACTTTGTGAATATTGCCTAAGGTCGTTTAAGGCTGTATAGATTAAAACCAACGCCTTCAAACATACAGGCTGCCATTGCAAATGGTCCAGACCTGGTGTTATATGATCTGGTCCCAGTGATTAATTTGGCTGGTTCATGCTGCATGAACTGCAATTTCTGAACAGTCAGTCTTCAAGGGTGGCACCATGTAGAGGGCATTGCAGTAATCGAATTGAAAATTCTTTTTAATGTGTATGCAACCATGTGACCAATTTGATTCTGGCATTATGTCTATGTGGTCTGAACCAGTGTGAGAGTAATAACATTTATTAAGAGGAACCATGTAGATTAATTGAATGATTTAGCTCTTCCCTGTGCTAGGGAGGAAAACTCACAATTTACCTTACTCATGTGGTTTCTGTTTGCATATCCTTACCCAAGGAAGCGTGGGATCAGTCAGCAAAGCAGTGTTTCCTATGCTCCAGCAGCAAATAATGAATTGGGTCTGCAAATAATGAAGAATGGTTGCATCTATCTGTCATCTATCATTCCATCCATCCATCCATCCCAGAGTTGTCTGCATAAGATTTTTTCCTCTTTTCCTACCTTATGAATACATCAAATTAGGGAAGATTAGGGCTGCACTGAGTATTTCATCATTACAATGTTTGTGTCAGAAATAACTATTCTTGTGGGGTAGATATTCTGAAGAAAGTATTTATTAATTCATCTATTACATTTCATTTCTATACCACCCAATAGCTGAAGCTTTCTGTGTGGTTTGCAACCATTCTTAAAACAGTACGAAGGCATAGAACATTTCGCAGATACAAAATAGAGGACCCTCAAGCCAATTTAGCAGAAAATAAATATAAATAAGTCTTTAAAAAATTAAAAGCACCACAACAACCAATATAATATTCATTACAAAGTAGATTTGCTAAAAAGATGGTTGGCCATCAAGCCATTAAATATCTCTAGTTGTATTTAAATGCTTCAGCACAGAGGGTTGACTTGACCTTGTGCCAAGGGTTGGTGCCAGATGAGCCTCAGTCGAGAGAACATTCCACAGTTTGGGGGCCACCCGTAAGAAGGCCCTCCTTCTCATTGCCACCCATAGAGGAAGTCCTCACCTGTCCCAGTCTTGTTCAGTGCCAGCACCCCTAACTGCATCTGTTTCCCTTTGGTGTGGCAGCAGCTTCCTTCTTTCTGGGTTCACTGCATGGAGTCATCTATCCAGTCAAGGAATATACAGTAAATGGCATGACACCAATGACACATGATGGCATGATGCCAATGATACATAGCTAATCGAATTCGGCTGTGTGATAACATCACAGTGGACAAGTGGAAGCGACAGAGAGCAAAAGAAAATGACAACAGTATAAATAGGCATTTATTCTGGGCAATATTTTTTTGGAACAAAAAGTGTTTTTCAGCAGTGCTGAAAATATGTGCAATAAGTAATTTCAGGTCTAGAGAAGAAGAACCTCTGGCCTTGTATCAAAAGATACTGTATTAAAGTGTTAGGTTAACAAGTGAGAATTATAAGGCAATTTCCTGAGCTAATCTCAGAGAAGCAGTTTCTAGATTAAAGATGTGATGCTGTATGAGATTAACACAAGAAGACTCAGTGCCATTAACGGTTCTTTTGAAAAGGAGTATGCATACTTTAACTACAGCTCGTTAACTACAGATCTCTCCTCCATCTCCTCCTTTCCTATTCGATGATTCTGCTCCCCTCTCTAGGGTGGGATGTATGTCTTCCAGCTGTTTGACTACTACGCGGCTAGTGGGATGTGCCTGCTCTTTGTTGCCATTTTTGAAACCCTGTGCATTGGCTGGGTATATGGTAAGTATGAACACGGCAGGAAACATGTGCCACTTCCTTAGAATCTTTTCCATGCTACCTGAAGCGGCCATCAAAGTCCCAGTCTAAAACAACTTCCGGGAAAGCAGCCACAGAGATGCTACAATTGAACTAAAACCTGTATGCCAATAAGGGGGAAAGTATCATGGATGCTTTTCCTTGCAACAGTTGGAGGCAAGCATCAGCCTGTGGTCCATGGCTAATGTTGAAGTGATCCTCTAACCAATGTTCAGCTCCTTTAGTTTCAGAAGCCCTCGTCCCATCTTGTTTCATATTTGTGTTTGGCTGACTGGCTGCCCGCCTCCCTCTCTCCCTCCTATCACACTTATTTCCTTTCAAAGAACTCAAGGCCACCTGCATAATTAACTTCCTTCTTTCAGTCTTATCCTTGCAGCAGCAACCTTGTGAGGTAGGTTGGGCTGAGAGTCTGTGAGGGGCCCAAAGTCTCCCAGGGAGCTCCATGGCTGAGTGGGAAGCAGGACCCGGATCTCCAGAGTTCACGTCCCACACTCTTAACCACTACCCTGCGCTGACTCTATAGGAGGCAGGAAACCATTCACATCTTGTAGAAGCAAAGGAGAGAGAGAACAGAGAAATGCTGTTTCTCTAACCTGCCCTGCATTCTTCCATTGCCCAGATAAGTTGCCATTCATGGAAATGCTTGGATGTGTTTCCCTCACTCACTCCTTTCTGTGTACCCTGCTAAATCTCCACCCACCAGGCCCTACTGTTAGTGCCTTCTCCACACCACGTGTTAACAAGCTGCTTCTATCCTGGCTTGTAACCCTTTACTGTTTCTCTTTTCACAGGTGCTGACCGTTTCTATGATAACATTGCAGACATGATTGGCTACCGGCCCTGGTCTGTCATCAAATACTGCTGGTTATTCATCACCCCAGCTGTCTGCCTGGTGAGTGAGGCACCGTGCATGGAGGACCAAAGAGTCAATAGTCAGGGGGCCAGGCTAGTTTGCAGACGGGAGGCGTGAGTGTTCCCAGAGCTGGCCCAAAACAGTTTGATGCCTGAAATGAAAGGCAAGATGGTGTCCCCTGCCCAAATCATGCATGAAGTCTGGACTGGCAGCAGAATCTTACTTCAACACTAGCAATGGGGAGTCATCTTCCACCATACCTGAAGCAGCACTGGGGCCAGGAGAGGTTGGGTGACGCACACAGGTCAGTCCTCAGATTGGGAGAATGGAAGAATAGCTGGGAGGTTGTTGCCGCCACCCCACCCAACATTGGCTGCCTGAGGTCATCACCTCAATCTACCTATTGGTAGGTCTGGCCCTCACCATTCCTTATCAGTGCTGTTTCAAAGTGCAGCGCTTCCTTCCACAAGGAAGGTGCTTTATCTCAGGCTGATTGCTGAAGATGTGGAAGAGCTCATGCCAATTATATGCATGCATTTTGGAGCTGTGGTAAAATTAAAAGCTCTTGGCAGTTAGTATTATAGTGAACAGACTATGGACTATAATATTCCAAATGAAGCATGCAGAGGACTATTAAATTATTTGAAAGGTGCATTGGCAGAGCTGATGTGGAGGTGATCACTGTTTTATTAACAGTAGCCAAAGGGTCTACTGCTATGCTTTGGAAAAGAAAGAGGCACTATTTTTCTCAGAGTGCTGCTACAGAAGTGACTCTTAAAGTGTGCACATTATATTTTGGGCTCATAAAAACCTAATGTATGAAAACTAATGCATAACAAAATGGTCAGCTTAATTTCTGGAGTGATGAATTTCAAGATAATGTGCATCCTTATATTTGCATATGGAAGCAATTGCCTTCATAGTTATTTTTCTATATTCAGAAAATAAAATGTACTGAAGCAATGCTCCCCAAGTTCCTGGTCCACCATATCACAGTTTATTGGATATTTGTGCTGGTATCAACAAAACAGAATCCTCATTCCAAATAGCAGCTTTAAAGAAAAAGCTGCTATTTTACTTTGTAGTATGCAGTTGGAAATGTAATTAAATATAGTCTAAGAGACTATATTCTAAAAGTTTGTAAAAAGAGGAAAAAAGAAAGGGGCTTGGCAAACTTTGCTAAGTCATGAACAATCCCCTGGCTGAGCAGCCAAAAGTATAACACAGCAGGACAAATCAGGCCAGGCTTCTAACAGAATGCAACTACCAACACTACCACCGAGCACACTGAGCTTGCTCACTCCTTATAGACACAAGAAATCCAGTCTAAAAGGAACTGAAACTAGGTGATATCCTTCCTACCGTGTGATGTCTGTTCACACCCATATTTGCAGTGGGTCAATTACCTCTGCATCCTGAGTAAATTTTCCACATAGCAACACAGCTAGTCAAGGGGAAATGGTTTTTAGCCTTTTCCATCTTCCTGATATCTTAGTTTTTCACATTGAATGCGAATGTTTATCATGTGGAAGAACACCTATTGATGTGAACTCCCACCTGTGTTCTGAAGTGGTCCAGAGCAGATGCACATTTATGCCTCACTGAGAATCAGAGTACCTATGCTAGCTTTCTCCAGTCTGGTGCCTTTTGGATATGGTAGACTACAGCTCCCACAATCCCCCAGTCTGCTGTGCTTCCCAGAAGGCACTTTGGGTGGGAACCCCATGTGGAATGCCCTTTCTCCAATTGCAGAGGTATGAAATACTCCCCCTGTTCTAGATTTGGCCTCCCTGAGTTATTATCTTGGGGTCCAAGGTAATTACACCAGCTGTAACAAATGGAGTGAAGCAGGAGTGATTTGACTTTAATAATTAACAACCAAATTCTTGTAGAATCTCCTGGACTCAAAGGGCTGAGCTACACGAGATGTGCAAAGACTGTCTATGCCCTACCATGGCTCCCATTTTCCCTCTTCTGCAGGGCTGCTGCAACTGTATTCAGAGGAACTGTCAAGTCTGAACGGGCCCCACGTATCCCTAAACCCCCTCATCATCCTCAGCCCCAGGTGTCAACAAACAGTTCTTTTTACTTTCTTTTCCTCAAACTTTTTGCAAACTTTGCTGCCCAGCAGGCCTGACAGAAGCAACCTCTGCAAAATGTTCTGCAAAAGTAAAATAAAAGAGGCTTCTTTCTTATTCTCCTCCGGAGACACTCTGGGAAGCAGGAATTAAGAGGATGGGCATGACGGCAAGGCATTTTGCCTTAGAGTACCTGCTGATCTGCAAAAGGAAAAGAAAGGTTGCTGCAGGGCCCCAGACCTGTGTCTGTGGTCCTACCCTAATAGTGCCATAAGCTGCATTTAAGGAAACAGAGATGCAACAGACAATCCAATTATGCACCTCCCGTGTATCTTTGAGTTTGGCCTTGATTGTATCTATAGTATATTGTGCCAGCTTGAAAGGTTCATCAAGGAAGAACTTCTTAGGCTGAAGTAGGATCCTAAATTAGTGAAGGGATCTAAATCAGGGACCATTTTGCTCTGAGCACATGTGAGTTTGCAAAGTGAGTTGGCTGAAGTTTGCATACTTACCCTCCCCCCTCTACTCTGCCTTTCCAGGCAACATTTCTCTTTTCTCTCATTAAATACACTCCACTGTCATACAACAAGAAGTACGTGTACCCCTGGTGGGGGGACACCGTGGGCTGGTTGCTGGCACTCTCCTCCATGATTTGCATCCCGCTCTGGATTGTCTACAAGCTTTCCACCATTAAGGGATCCCTGAGAGAGGTGAGGCTGATGCTTTCTGATGGGGGCTTGGTGTGCAAAGAGGTTGCCTGGGTGAGGGAGGCCTGCTGGCCAGTACATTACCCAGCAGGCCTTTGGGGGCCTTTATCTTGTTGTACTACAAGATGATTGTTGGGGCCCGTACATGAGTTTGCCAAGGTTCACTCTGTAACTGGCAGGCGCTAGTGGCATAACTGGAGCTAAATTGGCTGGAGGGCTACACAGACTGAATTCCTTCTTCTGTGCTTGTTATCCACTGTAGAGCAGTTTAGAAATGTCACCATTCAAGGGCTTTGCTGTGCAGTGTCTATGCTTATTGACTTCCAGACAAAACATGATTTCCTGTGTGGCATTTTCAACTCGTTTCCCACGATTATAAAGACTGTCCTGTCCAGGGCTCTGCTGAAGGAGCTGCCGTGTCATGGCTACCATGCTGTTGCGTTTTTTTGACATCAAGGTTAAAACTGAGTGGTATCTTCGTAGGTTTCGGGGACACCTTTTCAAGTTTTACTCAGTGGAGGGGGTTGAGATTCGAAGGCAGCTTCAAAGACTTTATTCAAGATTAAATCATCTCAAAGCAGACTGTTACTGGGGGTTCCTAATTTGTATAGTTCATTATAGCCAGCTTGTGAGGAGTGGCCAAGTAGGTTTGAAACACAGAACTGTGTGCCACCACCTGCATTCCAGGTGCCCCAGGTGCATTTCTGTACCATCAGGTGGCTGCAGCTTGGCTGGGTGGGTGGGGTGCTCTAGAGCTTAAGGCATATAAATATGGCCTTGTGTACATGCTGGGCCTCTTTATGCCATGGGCAGGCAGCATGGAAGCCAAAACACCTGGAGGGCTAGAAGTCAGAGGCTAATTGTGGGACTCTCATCCTTAATCCATCATGGTGAACAGTTCTCCAGGGGACTTCCAGATGAAGGGCGCCTGGAACTAACAAAAGACATTGTGCAGCTATCTTGTCATTTTCCTTCTTGATAATGTTTTTATGTGAAGAAAACGGATGGAAGAAGTGGTGGAAATGCATGGGTGGGTTATAAACAGAAGCCTTATAATCCTCCCCTAAGATTTCCCAAATGATATTCTGTGTAATTGCATGATATTTGCATGAAAAGCTTACCTGGAATCACCTTAAATGTGCACATTCCCCACAGAACTGAAAAAGTGTCTTCCTCATTTGTTGAGGTTAGATTTCCATTCCTTTTTCTGTAGAATGATTTCTTTGAAGGGATGTTGTGAGTACAACACACAGGGTGATATTCACTTGTGGTGTGTATGCAACATGAGGTCCAGAGGGAGTGCCAGATGGCACAGACTGAGAGAGGCTCTTTCTCAATTTCTTTCTGGAAATTGTTGTCTGGAATAGCTTTGTTGAGCTCCAAAGATTCTTTGGCTGGAATGCGGTTCACCAGAATGGCATTGAGCAAGGACCTCTCTCTCTTGAAGCTTCAGTGCCAGTTCCTTTGAGGGTGGGTGTTGCAGAAGGAGGGGGAGAAGCAAATATATTGCTAAATGCCACCCCTCCTCTTCCTCCTCCACTGTGCTGCACACATGGTCGGAACAGATGGAAGAGACGTATGGGAAGAGGATGGAAAGTTTGGCTCTTGCTCTCCGAATCTCTTCTAGCAGTCCTATTTGGCAAGCCCGTGAAAACAGCTCCTTCCGCCCCTCCTCATGCCCGGCCTGCTTTGTCTTTCAGAGATTCCACCAGCTTGTCTGTCCAGATGAAGACTTGCCCCAGAGGATGTGTCCAGGTCACCAGCCCTTTGCTGCTGCTGCAACCGGGCTCCTCATGTTGACGGAGTTGGATTCTCACTGCTAGGGGGAGGCCCAACCCTCTGTGTTGGACAGTCCTGGACTTTGCCCGCGGCCAAGGAGAGAGGGACCAGACCAGAGAGCGGCTTCCCCTTCCCCCCTCCAAAGGATCAGTGGTGGCTGCCAGGGAAAGAGAGCAGGCCCTGGTGCTTTGCCTTCTGTCTGGCAGCAGATTTTCAGGAGATGATTCAAACCAAAATGTTCCCCTACGAGCTTTTCTGGGAGTGCCACAGGAAGGACTTGCCCTGGGATGGAAATGCATCCCATGATTGTGGAAGAGTTAACCTTGCGCGGGTTTTAGGGAGTGCCCCATTCCATCTATAAAATCGTTCCTTCCACTGATGTGTTGTGTAAGTGTGTTTTTACATGGGTCGTACTGGTCTGTGATTTGGGATTCTGGCTTTTGCTGCATCCTCAGCTTCTAGGGACATATTTGAAACACCAGTACAGTTTTTCTGTAACCTGCATTGGCTTTTAACATCATCACAGTCCAGGTCGGGGTTTTGCCCCCTTCTCTCCTTTCTCTTTAAGGGACAAGGTACGATGGCACCAGTGGGCATTTCCCCCTCCTTCAGGACCAATGGTTGTTTGGGAGCAATTATTAAGGTAGCAGAAGGAGGAAGTGTTTAAAAAAACAGTGCTGTTTGACCCCATGGCAGTGCAGTTATGTTTAAAATAAACTATGCACATTGATTGCTTACATGGCAAATCTAGCTGGTCCTTGGCACCCTCAAAGGAAAGGATGAAAAGAGCTTTTATTATCATGGAATCAGAATCACTGAATAGTAGACCCGGAAGGCCATCAGGTCCAACCCCTGCTCAGTGTAGGACACCGAGTTAACCCATCCGTCTCATGTTGTTATTGCGTAAGATTTATAAGCTGCATTTCTTCCTCTTTTGTGCAAGGGTCCCAAGGCACACTTGGGTCCTTCTTGCATTCTTACAACAACGCTGTGAGGTAGGTTAGGGTGAACGTCTGTGACTGGTCCAATGTCACCTGGTGGGCTTCATGGCTAAGTGGGGCTAGAAACCAGATCACCTAACCCTGTCCAGCACTTCTAACTACACTGGCCTGGAAGGTGCTTGAATTTTCACTATTATTTGAAGATGGATGAAACACTTTTTGGAGCTGGCTGCAGGGGAGGCTCTAGAAGTGCTCTCACTCTGACTTGCGCTCTCAGTCCAAATACGGTACTCTTGGACTCCTAATCCCCAGAACACCATTCGCCGTTCCCTTGTTCTCGCTGCCTTTCCCCACCCCTAACCCTGGTGGCTTCCCCACTTCCATTCAGTCTTCCCCCAATTCTGAATGCCTCTAAGGTTTCCTTAACTGCTTTGAGAGCTTTAGACTGCAGCATGCTGGTAATTTCAGAATTGTGGCTCCATCTTTTTTGTCTTCAGTCCCACCCACTTCTAGAATGTGCCCCCCTGAGAGTTCTGCTGAAATAGGCTTAGCCCTGGGGCCAAAAGAGGTGCCTTAACTTTGTTGGAGTCAACCCCAAACATTCAGCCCTTTGCACTGTGAAACACTGCGGTGGGGTGGCGTAGCCGGTCTGGCAGATACTGGACAGTCAAACAAAAATATATGGTGACAAAAGAATGGGTAGATGCATGAGCATTCACACGGAAGTTATCTGCAGGCAGTGGCAAGACTGATGACATTTGAGTGAGCCATGAGCAGGGCTGACTGGCTGGGCCTCAGTGACTCACCTGCGCAGTGCTGAGCCAGGGTCCTCCGGAGGATGAGGATGATTTGCATTTCTACACCACACCATAGCTGAAGTTCTCTGGGCAGCTTGCAACAATCCATAAAAACAAGATTGCAATGCAGTGCAATATCATAAAATCATAGAAACATCAACATTTTAAGATAGCTAAACACCAAGAGTGAAGAATGACCCTGTAAAAAAGGATCTTGGATGGGCAGTCCTCTCAAGGCCCCGGGTATCCAGGCCAATCTTTAAAAGCCTCAGCATAAAGAGCCGCCTCAACCTGGTGCTGCAAAGATGGCACACTTGGCACCAGCCAGGCCACTGTGGGAGCATCTCTGGTTTAGCATCGCAAGGCCCATCCATGGAGGGCAACCTGGCAGCAGCCTCTTCCTATGCAATGCACTGCTCAGAAAACTGCATTAGAGAACAGTGGCTCCCTGAAGGCCGGCCAGCAGAAGGCAGTTCTGCTCAGGTAAGTCATCCAAGCAAGCATGGGTAGCTCTGCTGAAAAGGACTGTGTTCTTTTCAACTCCAAAAGGATTTGTTGTGATGATCTTTCAAATATTCTGACAGCCCAAGCATGAAGATACTTGTTCAGTACTTCCTTTTATCAGCTTGGTTATTTGTCCACTGTTCAATTGTCCTTTCTGAGATTTTGCATGGTGCAGGTTGATGAAACCGTATTGTGCAATGAAGCAAGAGATCCTGAGGACTGGAGCAGGGAATACAAAGGACGTCTTTGATCAGTGCGAGATCTAAATGCACCTGTTTTGCTAACTGCTGTGGGAAAAAAGCAAAACAAAACACCCAGCATTCCTGGGTACCCAGTCATGATAATGTCTGACTGGAGCAGGGCCGGTTGGAGGGTGGGTGGTGCGATTTCAATGAGTATCACCCAATGATCACCAAAAGCATCAGTGAGTGGACACTGTAACCGACATATCATTGTTCCCATCTCCATCTCACCTTAATATCCTAACTGCAACATCCAGTCAGACGCTGCCTCCTGCTCCTGTCCATCGCCTGCTTGGAAACCTGCTTTTTAGACATTTTGCTTGATGAAGAGGCTGAGTGCATATCTTGAAATCCTGCACATTTTTTGTGATTAGGTCAGGTCAGGCTAATAGAGACATCACACAATAACGGAGCTTGGAATTTTCCTTCTGGCCAAACATGTCTACCTCTGTTTTTCCCACAGCTTCAAAAGAATACTGAGCTTAATTTTAGCTGCCACAAGGTGTCCCCAGTACTTTAGCTGTCTGCTGTACAAAAGTTCAGTTCACCACTATCACTGTGTCTTCTCAGAATTGTCCAGCAGAGCTTTTCAGGTGGTCAGAGACTTATTCCTCTCAGGCCCATGTGAAGAAGAGACAAACCATATAATAGCCCACTGGGAACATTTGTACAACAATTGTCAGATAAAGTCCACCACATCTGTACTGGCTTGGATGCCATCCTTGATACTGGTTGGGTCAATGCAACATTGGCGCTGCTTTTCCAGTTACAGTGGATACGTTCCAATTTGTACGGTCTAAGGATGCTGGCCAATCCTTGGACAGGAGAACCCAGCACTTGTATGCTGAACCCTTGTCCATCCTGGCTTATAAAAGCAGCTGTTGGTGATGGGGAAATGAGCTGAGTGTGCTACTCTAGTAGTAAACACCTGTTTGAGGCTAGGTGTGATTCTGTCTTTTCTAAAAGAACTTTAAAAATCCTCCCTGAACTGTGCTGTATCGGATAATTTCTGGCTGGTCTCTAATATTCTATTATTGGGGCTGGAAAATGTTGCAGTTTCTCAGTTTGAGGGATTTCTGGATACCCTATCAGGACAGTCCCTATCTATTACAGTCTGGCTTCAAGCTGGGTTCCATAAAAGAGACTGCTGCACTGTCACCTTGTTGGATGATCTGTCCTGGGAACTGGACAGGGGGAAGGTGTCCCTGTTGGTTCTTCTGGATCTCTCTGAAGCTTCCGGTACCATCAACTACAGTGTCTTGCTGGGGTGTTTGTCTCAGGTAAATCTGGGAGGCACTGTTAAACAGGAACCATAAGTGGTGCTGATTCCTGTTTGATGCTTTGAACCTGTGATGTCCCTAGCATTCCACCTTGCCTCCATGCTATTTAACACACACACACACACACACACACACACACACACACACACATATATGAATGATGCCATGTCTGTGGCAACATGAAGAATCTTGCACTAGAGTCCATATACTGCACTGAATATCAATGGTCATGATGCTCATCCTCATGGTAACAGAGCAGAAATTTTAGGTTGCATCAGACAAGGTAAGGGTAGGCTAGTGCAGAGGGAATATAACTTCAAACTGTCAAGAGGTCTTTTTTCCCTGAGTATTTATCAGATAGCTGTCAAGGGAGCATAGCAGCATCCTGACATTTCAGGAATTGTGTGGGAAGAAGTAGGATGCTACAACCAGGGTTGGTACAACATGTCCTGCTTCTGCTCTTCCTTTCTCTGCTCCCCAGCCATGTGCACCTGCCCTCTCCCACAAAGAAGGAGTTGTGGCAGACACTGCCTCCTCCTTCTCCACCATTCCCTCACCTGCTGTTTCCTCTGCCTCTTCTAGCCATGAATATGTGGTAGCAGCCGATTGCTCACCTGCTCGTCCCCCAGCAGTAATGATGATACGGAAGGTGGCAGCCACTGTTCTTTGAGGAACACTTCATTGGTGCTGGGAAATGACCATGTAGTTTAGGAGAAATTGATAAACATCTTGATGCTCCTTCTCTTTTCAATGATTTATTAAGACTGGTCAATACTGAAATGAATAGGAAGAATTGTAACTAAAAGTAGAACGAAAAAATCTGAACCAATTAGATCATCCTTTGGGAGTTAGAAGAAGCTTCCATTAATTCAGCCAAGTCCCTGCTGCAACGTGCAGAAGAAATACTAGTAGAGTTTTTCTGAGCTAGATGGGGAGGGCAGCAGCGGGAGCTCATTACAGTGCAGCTCAAAGGGAAGGCAAGCTTTGCAAGGCCTCAAGTAATTCCTCAGCTTGGACCAAATGTGTTGAAGAGAATTGCTAGTTTCTCCATGTGACAGCAAGATGACTCCTTTGCATGGAATAGGGGAGAAGAAAGTGTGTGTGTGTGTACTGAGAGGAGGAAGTCCATCCTTTGTGGAGGACACATTTGGGATAGCCTTTCATCCCCACATGTGCTTTTCTTCCTGATGTTTCTTTCTGCAGTTGCTCTATTGCATTCAATAGGGGACATTTCAGAGGCTGAATCTGATGTGGTGTTAGAAAATCTAGGATTATTTCCATATGAACTTGAGGATGTTCACCCATATCTAGTCTTGGACATCTATGGAATTACTGAAAAAATTGATCTTTTCTTGGTTAGATAAGAGGAAAGAGAAAGGTACAAGATAGAAGAGTCAAGGAAAAGGAGGGTACTGGTCAGAATGGTTATACATTATCTCCAGTTCCAGAGGCAGCATGCCCCTGGGGAACATACACATGAGGGGGCTGCTGCATTCTGTCCCACGTGTGGCTTTCCCAGGGGGACCTGGTTGGCCACAGAAGGCTGGGCTAGAGACACCTTTGCTGGACTAGAGAGACCTCCTGCAGGCTCTTCTATTCTTAG